GCACTCGCCGTCGACTGAATGATAGCCAACTGTGCGGCCGGAGGCTCGCACAGCTGACGAGGCCGGAGGCGCTCGCCGACGCTGGTTGGATCGTACAGAAGTCATGCCCGGCCGGAGGCTCGCATACCTGACGAGGCCAAAAGCCCTCGCCTCGCTGAATGCGACACACGCAACCCAGCGCGGCCAGAGGCACGCACTCGCGGGACCGCCGCTTTGGATCCGCCACCAAGACGCCCCAACAGCCCCCGGGCAGCCCCAACGGAGCCCAATAACCCCCGAACAACCCCCAACAAAGCCACAAAAAAGACATCACGAAACCCCGAGGCCCGGGAAAACCTTCCAGGAGGCTCCCAAGGAGCTTTCCGTGAAGCCCCAAAACCCGCACCTCATATGATCAATCCAATCCGAGCGGGTCATCGACCTCCTGCAACTGTCGTCACTTCTGGGCCCCTGAGGCCTGAATATGGAGGAAGTATCAAGCGGGAGCCTCGTCCGTGAGTGAGTTGCGAGGAAGTCTCAAGCGGGAGACCCGTCTCTCTGGGCGGCCTCCTGCAACTGTTGTCACTTTTGGGCCCCTGAGGCCTGCATATGGAAAAATATCAGACGGATGCCGGGTTTGCGAATGAATTGCGACGAGGCCTGAGGCGGGAACCCCCTCTCCATGGGGCCCGCAGCTCATGTGAGCAATCCGAGCGGGCCATCGGCCTCTTGTAACTGTCGTCACTTTTGGGCCCCTGAGGCATGAATCTGGGGGAGTATTAGGCGGGAGCCCCATCTGCGAGTGAATTGCGGGGAGGTCTCAGGCTGGTACCCCCTCCCTGTGGGGCCCGCACTTCGTGTTCAAATCCGAGGCGGGTCATCGGCCTCCTGTAAGTGTCGTCACTTTTGGGCTCCAGAAGCTTGAATATGGAGGATATTCTAAGTGGGAGCCTCGTCCGTGAGTGAATTGCGAAGACGTTTCAAGCGGGAGCCCCCTCCTATGGGGCCCGCAGTTCACGTTCGAATCCGAGGCGGGTCACTGGAAACCTGTAACCGTCGTCACTTTCGGGCCCCTGAGGCCTGAAAGTGGGAGAAGTAGAAGGCGGTAGACTCGTCTGTGAGTGAATCGCGAGGAAGTCTCAGGCGGGAGCCCCCCGTCCTGTGGGGCCCGCAGCTCATACGAATAATCCAAGCGGGTCATCGGAAACTTGTAACTGTCGTCACTTTTGGGTTCCTGAAGCATGAATCTTGGGGAAGTATGGAACGGGAGACTCGTTTGTGAGTGAATTGCGGGTAGCCTCGTCCGAGCTGGTCGTCGGCAAAGTTGTTACTGTCATGGGCCCGCGTGCCCGAATCGTGGTTTTTTGGAGGAGGCGCCCGCCTTAGACTTCCTCGCAATTCACTCACAAACGAGGCTCCCGCCTGATACTTCCTCCATGTGCAAGCCTCAGGGGCCCAAAAGTGACGACAGTTGCAGGAGGCCGATGACCTGCTCGGATTACTCATGTGAACTGCGGGCCCCACAGGGAGGGGCTCCCGCCTGAGACTTCCTCGCAATTCACGCACAGACGAGGCTCCCGCTTGGGTGGGTAGGTGGGTGAGTGAGTGGGCAAGTGAGTGAGTGATGATGATGAGTGTGAAAATGAGTGAATGTGCGAGTGATGACGACGATGGTGATGGTAGTGCGCGTGAGTGGGTGAGTGGGTGAATGTGAGTAATGATGGTGCGTGTGAGTGGTTGAGTGAGTGTGCGAAGGGCGGAGAGAGAGGGGGAGGAAGGGGAGAGATTATGTGTGGAGGGTGTGCCAAGAAAACAAGAAGCACACTTTGGATGTGGGGAATTACTCCGACGGTAGGACCACGCGTGAGAATATGTTTTAACTTGCATGGGGATCTCCTCCTGTCCCCTCCCTTCACCCACCTACTCCTGCCTCAACCTTCTCCTCCTGCCTGCTTCTCCTCCTGCCTCAACCCCAGCCTCCTCCTCCTCCTCTTGCCTCCACCGCCTCCTCCTTTTCCTCATCCTTTTCCATCTCCCTCTCCCTCCTCCTCCTTCTCCTCCTAATCCTCCTCATCCTCCTCCTCCTCCGCCTCCTCCTCCGCCTCCTCCTCCTCCTCCTCCGCCTCCTCCTCCTCCGCCTCCTCCTCCTCGTGCGGAACACGACCTAGAGGAAACGCTCGACGTGCGTCCCAGCAGCTACGCGCCGAAGAACGACCCAGAGGAAGCGCGCGCCTGAGGACAACCACTAGAAAGCACTTAAGGTGCGGGCCCTATAGGAATGGCTGCTCCCGCCTGAAACTTCCTCGCAATTCATTCACAAACGAACCTCCCGCCTGATACATCTTCCATATTCAAGCCTCACGAGCCAAAAAGTGACGACAGTTACAAGAGGCTGATGACTCGCCTCGGATTCGAACATGAGATGCGGGACCCATAGGGAGAAGGCTCCCGCCTGACACTTCCTCGCAATTCACTCACAGACGAAGCTCCAACCTGATACGTCCTCCATATTCAGGCCTCAGAAGGCCCAAAAATAACAACAGTTACAGGAGGCCGATGACCCGCCTCGGATTCGCACATGAAGTGCGGGCCCCATAGGGAGAAAGCTCCCGCCTGAGACTTCCTCGAAATTCACTCACAGACGAACCTCCCGCCTGATACTTCCTCCATATTCAAGCCTCAGGAGCCCAAAAGTGACGACGGTTACAGGAGGCCGATGACCCGCCTCGGATTCGCACATGAAGTGCGGGCCCCATAGGGAGAAGGCTCCCGCCTGAGACTTCCTCGAAATTCACTCACAGACGAAGCTCCCGCCTGATATTTCCTCCATATTCAAGCCTCAAGAGGCCCAGCGGTAACGACAGTTACAGCCGATGACCCGCCTCGGATTCGAACATGAAGTGCGGGCCCCGTAGAGAGGGAGCTCCAGCCTGAGACTTCCTCGCAATTCGCTCATAGACGAGGCTCCCGCCTCAGACTTCCTCCATATTCAAACCTCAGAAACCTCAGGGCCCCATAGGGAGGGGGTTCCAGCCTGAGACTTCCTCACAATTCACTCACAGACGAGGCTCCCGCCCGAGACGACACACAGGCAAGTGATGATTATGATGATGTGAGTGCTGATAATGATTGAGATGATGATGAGGCCAGTGGTGATGATGGTGTGTGAGTGATTGAGTGCGCGATAGTGCGATCGTGTGTGGTGAGTGTGTGGCTGATGATGATGGGGTGAATGATTGAGTGAGTGAGCGTGCGAAGGGAGAAGAAGCTGAAGGTGTTATGATGATGGTGCGTGAGTGATTGAGCGAGTGAACGCGCGAAGGCAGAAGAGGAGAGGGGGTGAGGTGACAGGACTGCGAGGGGTGCCCAAAGAAAACAAGAACCCCACTTAGGATGTGGAGCAAGAACCTCATGTATGATGTGGGGAAAAATTCAAAGAGTTTCACGAATTGAGGGCGGCTCCTTCTCAAAATGGTGTCCTTGCCTTGTCTCTGAAAGATTGCGGGAGTTCCACTGCTTCTCATGGTGAACGTACCAGAAATGGTGTTTTGGAAGGTTCAGGATTGTCAGTGCGCAGCAGTCACGTTGATTCGCGGCGTTGGAGTCCCAGGAATGGTGTTCTGGCACGAATCAGGATTCCTCAGACGCAACAGTCAGATTGACTCGTGGCGTTGACGTCATCAGAATGGTGATTTGGCACGCTTAGGGGTCTTCAAGCGGTTGTCTCCCAACCATGCACTTCCCTCAATGGAAATGAACCCTTAAAGGGGCCTATGAAGAGGGAGCTTGGAAGACGGTTACATTCCAACATCGTTGATGAATCTCGGGTTTACACTGGTCATCCTCCTCCTTCTCTTCCTGCTGCTCCTCCTCCTCCTCCACCAGTACACAATATGAATACTACCCTCCTCTCTCACCCGAAGACCCCGAGGTCGTAGCCTGCCCTCCTTTCTTCCGCGAGTTGTTTTTACACATGGGACCCTCAAAAGGTGATCGATCACATGTGTTTTCCCAATCCGAACGTTTCCAGAGTTTCCCGAATAGCCCTCCCGCTACAGCGTTGGCTCCATTTTCTGGCTCTCAGTCCTTCCAAATCCTACTCCCGCTGCAACGCTGACCTCATGTCGATTTTGCGGAGATTCCAAATCGTGTTCCCGCTACAGCGTTGGCTATCATGTTACGCTTACGATCTTTCCGAACCGTTCATTGACTTTTGTGCGTTTGCGGCATGTCTGATTTCCCTCCGAACACGTTACGCTCTGCCATGCTCTGCCACGCCATGCTGCTCCGTGCACTACCATGCAGCTCGTACCCTATCGTGACTATTGCCCTGCTCCACATCCGAACATGCGAATAGAGAGGAGACCTACGCCATTGTAAGGGATGGGAGGGAGGGGTACGACGTTGGGTAAGAGGCTTGCGCGCCTACCTTGTCTCCTCCCCACCCCCCTCCCCCTCTTCCTCTTGCTCTTCTTCCTCCTCCTCCTCGTCCTCCTCCTCCTCCTGCTCCTCCTGCTCTTCCTCCTCCTCCTCCTCCTCCTCCTCCTCCTCCTCCTCCTCCTCCTCCTCCTCCTCCTCCTTCTCTTCCTCCTCCTCCTCCTCCTCCCCTCCTCCTCTTCCTCATCCTCCTCCCCTCCTCATCCTGTTCCTCCTCCTCCTCGTCCTCCTCCTCCTCCTTCTCCTCCTCCTCCTCCTCTACCTCCTCCTTCTCGCTCATTTTCCCCGCCACTCCCTCAAATTCCTTCTGCTCCTGCTCCGGACCCGACCTGGCAAGAGCCTGCGGCATCGGATTGGGCCGCGTCGGCGCGGAGCCGATACCAGATCGGGCCGGCTGCGACAGGATCACAAAGACGCCACGCAAGCATCGGGCCGCGTCGGATCGCCGGAACACAGGAACGTCGGAATCGAATCGCATCGAGCCAACCGGATTCGACTTCGAATCGGAACGATCGGATCGAAATGGGCCCGCCCTGGCAGACCGTGGCGTTGCGGGGGGGCCCGGCGCCAGCCCGTCACCTAACGCCCCCCGCCTTCGACCACAGCCGCTGGTCGCCACCTCGGCCGCCAGTCCTCCTGATTTTTCCTCCTCCTCCTCGTCCTCCTCCTCCTCCTCCTCCTCCTCCTCTTCCTCCTCCTCCTCCTCCGCCTCCTCCTCCGCCGCCTTCTCCGCCTCCGCCCCCGCCGTTCGACTTCCCTCAGCACTTCGGATGAATGGTGGAGGTCACCGTG